AGACCACCAACACTGACAGGGGGTTGGGGGAGACCACCAACACTGACTCACCTGGCTGTACAGTGGCCACCACCGTCCACCTGCAGTCTCTCTCATCTCACAAATCTGAAACTCTGCTTTAAGATAAAATCTGGGCTGGGCGCGGTGGCTCACCCCTGTCACCCCAGCAGTTTGAGAGGTTAAGGTGGGTGGACCACTTGACCTCAGGAGTTCGAGGCCAGCCTGGCCAACATGGTGAAACCCTGTCTTTACTAAAAATACAAAAATTAGCTGGGTGTGGTGGCACACGCCTGTAATCCCAGCTACTCAGGAGCCTGAGGCAGGAGAATCACTTGAACCTGGGAGATGGAGGTTGCAGTGAGCCAAGATCGCACCACTGCACTCCGGCCTGGGCGAGAGAGAGACTCCATCTCAATATAAAATAAAATACAATAAATAACATAAAAGTCTGTTTTGTTTATTTTGAAGTGCAACCCACATGTAGGAAGGAACACAGAACACATGACACAGCCCAGCACGCTCCACCCAGCCCTGCCCGGCCCCACGAATGCAGGACTGCTCACACTGCCTGCCGTGATCACACGGGTCCATCCTCCCCCGCCGGGCGTCGTCCCCGGGCTGGTCGGCTTGCGCCATCCTCCTCCAGTGGACATTTGGGTGTTCTCAGCCTCTGCGTGTGAGGCACGCCATGTGCGCCATGCTGCGATGGTTCTGAACGCAGACAGGAACGCCGGCCCGTGCCACCCCGTCCCAGGGCACTGAAGAGCCCAGAGCCTCGGTGGTGGAGATCAGGTGCCCCGTGACGTTTTGTGGGTTTTTGTTTTGTGTGAGCTGCTTTTGTTAGATTTATCCCAGGGAATCTGACATGGCTGATGCTGTTGTAAGTGACTTTTGAAATGGTCATTTCTGGCCGGGCGAGGTGGCTCACAGCTGTAATCCCAGCACTTTGGGAGGCCGAGGTGGGTGGATCATGAGATCAAGAGGTTGAGACCGTCCTGGCCAACATGGTGAAACCCCGTCTCTTCTAAGAATGCAAAAGTTAGCCGGGTGTGGTGGCGCGCGCCTGTAGTCCCAGCTACTGGGGAGGCTGAGGCAGGAGAGCTGCTGGAACCCGGGAGGCGGAGGCTGCAGTGAGCCGAGATCGAGCCCCTGCACTCCAGCCTGGGGACAGAGCAAGACTCTTTTTCTTTTTTTTTTTTTTTCCTGTCATTTCTGTTTGTTGCTGTTGGGAAACAACTGATCTCTCACTTGGGCTCGTGCTGAGCATTGATGCTGAACTATCGGTGAATTCTCTGTTTTTTTTCTCGCTCTGTTTCCCAGGCTGGAGGTACAGTGGCATGATCCCGGCTCACTGCAACCTCCACCTCCTGAGTTAAAGGGATTCTCTGCCTCAGCCTCCCAAATCAGACTACAGGCACGAGCCACGACGCCCAGCTAATTTTTTTGTATTTTCAGTAGAGATGGGTTTTCACCATCTTGGCCAGGCTGGTCTTGAACTCCTGACCCCGTGATCTGCCTGCCTCTGCCTCCCCAAGTGCTGGGATTACAGGCGTGAGCCACCATGTCGGCCAAAGGCTGGGTGTAGGGAGTGGTTATCTTTTTTATTTTTAAATTTTTTTTATTTATTTATTTTGAGGCGGAGTCCTGTTCTGTCGCCCAGACTGGAGTGCAGTGGCGTGATCCCGGCTCACTGCAGCGTCTGACTCCTGAGTTCAAGCGATTCTCCTGCCTCAGCCTCCCGAGTAGCTGGGATTACAAGCACGTGCCACCACGTCCGGCTAATTTTTTGGTATTTTTAGTAGAGACGGGGTTTCACCATGTTGGCAAGGCTGGTCTCGAACTCCTGGCCTCAGGAGAACCGCCCGCCCCGGGCTCCCCAAGTGCTGGGATCACAGCCGTGAGCCACCGTGCCCGGCCCCCATGGGTAAATTCTGAGAGTGTAGCTTCTGATCCTTCGTGGCTTTCTGCGTGATCGATCACGTTGTCAGCAGGTCCTCAGGCTCCTGTCTCCCTTCCCTGCTGGATGCCACCTGCAGTGAGATGTCCTCGTGCGCTGCCCCGAGTGCCATGCTTCGTGCTCTAGGGTGGCTTCTACCCAGCTCGGGCGCTCCCTGCCCATCCTGGCCGAGTTGTTTCTTAAACCGTGAGCTGAACTGAATTTGAGAACGTTTGCTCTGTGTCTGCAGAAAGGGCCATGTGGTTCTCTCCTCTGTTCCAGTCCTGGGCTGAACCACACCTCGGGCTCTCGCATTAAGTCAGCCTGGCGTTCGGGGTGACCCCGTCATGCGCGCTCCCCGGCACATGTGGCAGAACCCAGCTGCCGGGGTCTTATCTGATCTGCATGAGTCCTCAGCTTCCCTCACCGGGCTCCAGGGCCTTCTCTGTTGCCGTCCTGCTCTCCAGGGGGCCCAGCAGTTTCCATGGCCCCCACGTCCCGGGGGAGTTCACTGCTGAATCCACCAGGCACCTGTAGAGTCCCTGCTGGCAGCCGTCCCTCCCTGGCCTCCGACCTGACCCCAGCACATGACGGAGCCCGGGTGCATCCCTGCTCCCCTGGGTGGGGTTGGGGCATCACCAGGCTCCAGGCCAAGCCACGGGGCCCCCAGGTTCTTTCTGGAAACCTCCCTCCGGCCTCACTGGTGGCTCTATCCGTATGGGGCAGCGTCCCTGGTCACACGTTTGCAGCGGACCGTGCACCATGAGGTGGGGGCGGCCTCCCAGGCGGGGCTGGAAGGAGGGGCGGGGCAGTGGGGGCTGGCGACGGAGGCCTAAAAAGCTGCAGGGAGGGCAGGGGCTTGGGGTCCTCGTGGTGGGGAGTGGGGTCTGGGCGAGAAGATGCTGATGAGGTTGCCAAGGGCGCCGGGAGGTGCGGGTGAGGCTCAGGCCTATAAAGTCCTGGACAGCGGAGGACCCAGCCCTGGGGCTGCTCTGTGACCACAGCTGGAGCACGAGGCCCAGCTCCCAGGGCTGAGCGTGGAGGTGCTGCCAGGGGCCGAGGGGAGGGGCAGGCCACAGGGAAGGGACGGCGGTGAGCCCGGGCCAGGGTGGGCACCACTACAGCTGGCAGATGTGTTGTGTGTGTGCCCGAGGTGGGGAGGGCTCCCCCCAGGTCCAGAGGAGCCCTCGGCCTTGGGGGTCAGTGGGGGGGCTTCCCGGTGGGCTGTGTGGCAGCCACTGGCCCTGCACCTCCTCCCATGGCTGTTGTCTTGTCCCCGCAGGCCAGGACCCCCTCCTGCTCCTGCAGACCCTGCAGACCCTGTGGTCCACGCGGGAGCGGCAGCAGGTGAGTGGGTGTGGGGTCGAGTCACAGCTGGCAGAACTGGCTGTTAGGCAGAGACCCGACGTTCGTCTGAACGTTCCAGCTGCTGGCACAAGGGTGGCACAGAGCCCGGGCGAGGCTGGGTGGACCCTGGTGGCCGCAGGGCCCTGAGGCTCAGAGAAGGGGAAGGGCCTGCAGCCCCCACACAGCCTCCGGGCCACGCCACGGACACCCAGCCCGGCGTGAACGCCTCCCGGTCTGCACTGGCTCCACTTCCAGCTTCCTGCCACTGTCTGTGCATTCGCGTGGTGGGGGAGACGCCCTTCCATGCTCAGGGAGGGACTTTGGTATGGAGACCTGGCGGGCTGTGGCCGCACCTGCTGAGCTGGGGCCTCTCCTCCCAGCGAGGGCCCCCAGGGCTGGTGTTGGGGTGAGGAGCCTCCCTGGGTGGGAAGCTGTGCGGCCCCCATGGCCACAGGGTCCTGCTGTAGTGGCTGCCACAGGCTGTGTCTGGGTGGCCTGTGAGGGGCGGTCTTCCTCATGTCCCCGGGGTGGGGAAGGCACTGCTGGCCCCAGCAGTGCCTCTGAGGTCACCTCTGGGAGGCACAGGGGCCACTCACCTGCAGGGACATGGCTGTCACCAGCACTGCCAGGCCTGAGGCCCCATCTGCCCACTGGCAGAGCACCCAGGCCCGGGTGATCGTTGGAGCAGGCGTTCAGGACAGGGAGGCCTTAGGAAGGCGGGGGGGCTTGAGCAGGGCAGGAGGCTGGGCAGGAGGCCAGGGAGAGGCTGCAGAGGGAGGCCGGCCACGGCGGGGTGGGGGGCAGATGCAGATTCCAGCTCCTTAGCCGCCACAGCCCGTGTACAGGAGGCTGCCAGTTCCTGAGTGCTGTGTCCGCTGGCCGAGGTCACCCTCCAGCCCCAGCCCTGTGCTGCTCCTCCTTCGTCCGCCCCTCTCCTGTCCCTGCCGGATTTCACTTCCCATCAGTGCAGCAGCATTCCGGGCCTTGGGCTTGTGAATCTCCATCTCTGGCTTGTGAGTCTGTCTCTGGCCTGTGAGTCTGTCTCTGGCCCATGAGTCTCCGTCTGTGGCCCGTGAGTCTGTCTGTGGCCCGTGAGTCTCCGTCTGTGGCCCGTGAGTCTGTCTGTGGCCCGTGAGTCTCCGTCTGTGGCCCGTGAGTCTCCGTCTGTGGCCCGTGAGTCT